TATATATATATATATATATATAAACTAGTGACAGAACATTTTAATTTAACTTGATCATTCTCAGCCGAGTAATTAGATAATTGACATGTCTAATGTAATTAATAAAGATGCAAACATTAAAAGTGAGACGTACGAACGAATGAGTGCAAAAAGAAAAACAGGCAAAATTTAATTCAGAATACGTTTCGCAATTACGAGATTACAATTCAAGTGATAAACTTAATTGAAAAATCGACGAGTTATTTTGACAATTCTGTGAGTGCATAATTTGACGTGATCGGGCGGAGTCTGGAAAGTGAACTTCATCCTTAGGAATTCCTAAGCATCAGAAGTTGCATCTTGATGCAACATCTCCGACAACGTACCGTCCGACTGCACTACTTCGCGAGCACGAATAACATGAGACAGAAACAACAACAGCAGCGATAACTCATGTTCAGTAGATTCAAACTACTTCAGGGCGGTGTCAGCTACCTTCTGTTATCATCAGGTGCGCAACATCGAAGTCATTCGCTCTCGCTCTTTCTGTTCCTCTATTTGCTCGATTCAATCGATCGCGGCGCGACGACGACAGCGGTCGATGACTCACGGAGTTCAGCCGGAGATAACTCGGACGATGAATTTACGGCGCATTGTTGCACCGGCGTGGCGCGCGCATTACATGGGTTGACCCGATGTCAACATTGTTACGCGCGGAGAACGCTGCAAATTTCGAATCTCAATGATCATCAGCACGTCCGCTGACGACGAGTTCCCCACGTTTCTGGATTAGGGAAAGGGGTCGGTCGACGATGTTATAGATCGCATCGAGCGGATAAATTTAACGCATGAAATTATTTATACGAATTGCCTTGGTTATTGCGGATTGACTGCATACGGAAAGAATGGTTTTGCTGAAATATCTAAAAATTTAGTTAGAGACAGGTCTGAAAATAATTTTGTTGTTTGGATCATCCAAATATAATTATATAGGATGTTTAAACTGATTGCTGCAGAAGAAAAATGATTGCAATTATTATAATTTGCATCTATCAATTTTTAGAACAACTTTATATTTACAGTTATTGTATCTATACAAGTATTAGTTAATTATTAATAGTAATCATTACACACATGCATACACTGTTTGAAAATCGTTACTTTTTTAAACATATCTTAGTTACCAAATAAATAGTAAGTGAATATAAGAAAATAGTTATATTTACTGTAATTACGATTGCATTTATTGAATAAAAAATGTTTATGTCATTCATCATTTATATCTTGATGTTTTACTATAGTAATATTTGAAATTATTATAATTTATAGTACAATTTTTTTATGTTTGAGAGACCATATATGGTTATTATTACTACATTATAGCAGTAATAACCATAAAAATAACACTCCTAACCATAATTATTTTATTATGTAATTATAATCACAAATATCAAACATTTTTCTCTCAGTCCTTAAAACTTTCTCTCAAAATGTTAAAATTTTTGCAGCATTTTTATAACGTTTAAGCGTTTTACATAATTATTTCAATAGTACAGCAAAATTATTCGCAGATCTGTATCTAACTTAATTTTTAGATATTTTAGCAAAACCGTTCTTTCCGTGCATGTCCAGTCGTAGAATTATATTCCGTCTGTATTTCCAGATAATATTAATTATTGACATCGACTTTCTGCCCTTTTCGTTTAAACATTTATATTTTATATTTTATTTTAGACATCGGATGAGAATTACGGAGGCGTAAACTTTCACATTAAAAGATTTAAGCGGAGTCAACTCCTTCATCCGACTCAATTATTGACATACGTGTGCTAACAAGATACGCAACGACCTCGTGATACTTCGGCGCTAATTATTTTCTGACATCGAGAGCGGTTATTGTGCGTTGCGTCACTGATTGATCGCAGTCATCCGTATACCGAGTCGACCGCTGGACTGTAATGCAACGAATATTGATAATTAGGCGGCGGGAGGTCGCAGGATAATTTCATACCTATTGTTGAAATGACGGCCATGATGTCCGATGAATAATAAGTGCCCCGGTGTGCAATTATACAATCGTTTATTGACATTATAATCGAGTATTTTCTGATCGTAAATATAAATTATTTAATGAGCTTGCAAAACAATATCTTTTTTATATCGCTTGTAAAAAAAATACATATAGATATGTATATAGAAAAAATTTGACAATTATTTTACATTTATGTTTTTTTCATCAAGATTATTTATTCACTTTTATGTAACGTGAAGAAATAATTTTTTATATTTAATGCTAATACGAAATTAAGTTCTTTTTTGGTCTTACATAAAAACTGCTTTAATATCTATAAAAAAAAACTGTAGAAATGTATATAGAAAAAAATGTGATAATTATCTGACGTATTTATTATTACACAAAATATTTTTTTATCGTCTATAAAAATGCGCAGAAATGTACAAAGAAAAAGAATATGATAATTATCTGATTATTTATTTGACAAGATTTATTTAACACATTTATTTTATGTATACGGAAAGAATGATTTTGTTAAAATATCTAAAAATTTAGCTAGATACAGATGACTGAAAATAATTTTATTAGATTATTAAAATAAGAATCTTGTATAATGAGTTGTAAATATAATGAGTAATGCTGTAAATAGTTTGTCATTCTATGCAGTTTGAATAATCTGCATAATTGTTTTGATGATTCAACAAATTATTTCCAGATTTGTATCTGACTGAATTTTTAGTCACTTTAATAAAACCATCTTTTCTGTGTAAAGAAAAAAAATTAATTTATAATTTTTAGTACATTTATAATGTTTAATATTAATTGAAACCAAGATATTTCAGTTTTACACATAAAAGGAACCTCACTTCCTCTCGCCGGAATTATTTCCGGCTGCCGCAACAATTTCTTGCGTGGTTTCGTAATAACGTTGAAGCACACGCTTCCACATTAGACAAGCTTGGTGGTAAAATGAGGGTGATAAAATACGGCGCTCTGTAATGACGGGTGGTGTGTGTGCGCGCCAGTCCGCCCAGTGTGTTCAGCCTTCTATATTTCGAATTTAACATCGTGCACCCTCCGCACCATTCGCTTTCATACCGCAAACTCGTCCACAAGCTTCCCTGAAGTTCCTTTCCCATGACATGCGTTGTGTGCATGCGTGCACGTTGCGTGTATGCTATTGTTTACGCAATGCCGCTCGACCCGCGCGCTCTGCTCTTCCACCTCTTCCTTTCATCGTTACTTCCTCTGCTCCCCCTCTGTCGTGGTAGCAAGCAGGTCATCGAATTTCTAAAGGCGAATTTCTCGTGCACGACGGTCAGTTCCGAATACGAAAGATTACTGTACCTGAAACGACAAACCGCTTCTTTTTGTATCTATATGTATCAATCTAACTGAATCTCTTTTCACCTCATCTCGAACGCGTTAACCGCACTTCTGTTGAATTGCACGAAATTTTGGGTCACGACGATTACAAGCTTCAACATGTGTTCATATTTATTAAATGCTTGTGGAAAAAAATTATATAGACTCTTGAGGAAGTTATCTCTCTCTCTCTCTCTCTCTCTCTCTCTCTCTCTCTCTCTCTCTCAAGAGAGTAGGCCTAACATAAACCAGAGAAGAGATTTTTAAAATTAAAGAATAATAAGTTAATTTAGATCGTTTTATGAATAAATTAAATAAGAAAAGAGCCAACAACGTTGACTAGATCTTGCTTAGTAATATATTTTATGTAAATTCTAAATACGTCTTTTAATTATATAAATTGTGCGCCACTTACTGTCAGATTTGAAATGCAATCATAAATTGAAGTTGAAATAATAATATCACAATTACAATAAATCGATTTGATAATGCTACTAGCATTTTAAAACACTGTCAAGGCTAGATCTTCGCGTCTAATTTATATATGAATTCTAAATACATTAGTTATATAATCGCGTTCCATTTACTATCAACTTTCAAATGCAGTCATAAATTGAAGCTGGAATAATAATATCACAATTGAAATTGATCATCGATTTAATAATAATACTACAGTATTTTAAAATACTGAAAATTTATTACGAAAATGTTATTCAGTTTGAAGAAAAGATTTAACTATACAAGCTTGTATTTGAATCTTCTTTGAACCTGTTTTATTCTCCATGATAAGAAGATTACAAACAAAGGAAGGGAAACATTCGCATCAAATTGACTTGATACGAATACTAATCTGCGATGTTTAGCAATTTTTATTTATATATACATTAATTATTTGGAAACTCATTTTAACATAATGCACACGATCGGCCGGTAATTAAACAGATGGTAATTAATTTTTACTAATTTTGCTAATTTTCTCGTTTCTTTTTTGTTGCAGAACGCCAGCATACCGCCATCAAACCACTTGCGTAAGTATACCGATTAAAAATTTTCATGTTAAACTTTTTTACGTGGCCTCTTCGCATGAAGCTTTATCTATCCTCATTTCCAGTCGATCTTCAATACATATTCAAAAGCACTTTTTTTGTTTAAAAGTTTTCGTATGCGTTGACAACGGAAGCACATACTGGCTGATAATTACATATTCGAGAGTAATCGATAATTTTCGAGTACTCTTTAAATTTCTTGGAGTGAAATCTTATTTCAAAAGAGTTAAAATATCTGTCACTATTGAAAAAGAATGAAAAATTTGCATTCTTGAATAGGAGCAGCAGATTTTCACTCTTTTTTGGAATGAGATTTATTCCAAAGGAAAATAATCTCCTTTTTTGGTGTGAATTTTATTTCAAAAGTATGAAATCTCACTTAAAAAAAAAATAAAAATCTGCCGCTCCTATTCAAGAGTGCAAATTTTTCACTTTTTTCTATAATGATAATACTTTAACTCTTGGGAGAAATTTTACTCTAAGAAATTTAAAGAATAGATAATCGATAACTTTTTCTCTCGAGTATCGTGTTGAGTGATTTAGTTTCTTAATATTGCACTGTTTAAAGCCTATCTTACACGTTTATTACACTAATTTTTCCTCATATTTGACTGTGATTGATCGATTCTTATAATTATACAACTACGTTTACACAATTGTAGAATTGGCTTAAATAATAATAACATAATAATAACATAGTTACATCGATGATGAGCGAACCGCGCATATGATGGAATAATAAAAAAAGGGTGATTGTAGGATGCATTGGCAAACATACTGGTTACATTGTAAACCGTAAAGTTTACTACCTAGAGGAGGGCTTTTAATTAAACCGTGCAGCGCGCCGCAATTTTTCGGAACGTTGACTATTTTGCTAAATATTTTGTTTTCTACCGCCCATATGCAAACACGTCATCGCGCGGTTTCTGGTTGTTTACTTTTAACCAAGCAACTTTAATCCGCGCAAAAAGTGCCGCTAGAATCCACGATTCAGACAAATAAAATTACGCAAAGCAGAAGATAGTCGCGATAGCAATGTGTCTCGTTATCAGTGTTACGTTCGCGTAAGGAAAAAAATGAAGAAAACTCGCGAAGAATTGGGAAAGGAAAAAATGCGCATCGCGACGATGGAGGGAGTTCGGACAACACGTGGACGCTGCTAATAAAGATGTTTCGAAGTTTCTCACGTGTCATGGGTTTCTTGCTTTCGCGACGACGGTTAGTAGAATTTTCTTTCGCCTCTCGTAGACGAAACAGTTCGTACATTTTTATGACAGACTTATCAGGTCTTCTTACTCTCATCGCCTTTTTTCCGATGTTCCTTGAAATTCCCTCGTGAACTTAGAAATCTTTCGCAAGAAAGAGTCTGTTTTTAGTGATGCAATATATCTCGCTTGTATGTTATCTAACTCGATTCGAAAAATTTTCTCGATAAATAAATAGTGAATAATGATAAATGGATTACCTTATATGTATCGATTTAATCGATAAAAATTACAATCGCTTTCTGGAGAGAGATTTCCTAATTTTTTTTTAATTATAACTAATTAATTGATATTTTTAAAAATTTTCTTTGGATTTTTAAATCCAATTTTTTTAGTTACAGCTAATTAACCTTCCGTTGTCCAACTGAAACTTTAAAGATTCAAGCGAATTTTTAATTTTAAATTATTCTTCAAATTCGGACATGTATAAAAAAAAGTGAAAAATGTTTCGGATTATATTGTTGAACGTGTTGAAAGAGTGTGTCACAATTTTTTTCAAAATTTTTAG